CTTTGTCCTTATGGACAGCCCTGCACAGCACTGTCCTCCTGCATTGTAATGGTCCTCCCCAGTAAGAGTGTCTTTTTCTGAAAGCCGGGAAGACATTTCATTTACCTTTGTGCTCACCCAGTACTGTGGGTGCTTGTAAACCTCCACTGATTGACAGAATGGATGTCTCTGCCTTTATTTCTAAGGACTTTGTTATGAAACTCAAATAAGAGGGTATTTTTGAAAGAACAGTATAAACTAAACACAAATGTAAGAACCCTAAATCTCCCAGACTGTCCGTCTGTACTAAAAGAACACCCCTTCGAGGTGGGTGAAGATGTTTCATTTCCAGGAAATCGGACTTATTCTTAATTAGTCAAGACCATTTAAGACTTGGAGTGGAATCACCCAAAGCCAAATTGTCTTTTTCATCTGATTTTTATGTATTCTTCTTATGCAAATGATGTCAAAATATAACAGTCAAAAATAAATTCTAATGGACTATCTCAGAAATATACAAATAATAGGAAAAAATAAGCTAACAGGAACAGAAAATAATAGGACTCCAAGAGACTTTATAGTGTTTTTAGACACATGTGGAGCCTGTATGGAGAGTTATAATGGCGGGTGGGAGGGGGCTGCTAAATGAACCGGGTTCCTACAGTGAACCCAGGACTGCTCAGGAGCCTGAGATGCAAGAACGCTGAGTAGAGAGCTGGAGGCCTCCTGGACAGATTTTGAATTGTGAAGCTCTCATGGACATAGATGTCCTTAGCAAAGCACTACAACTAGGGCTGCCAAACTGAGCAAATAAAAATACAAAACACCCAAATATTGCAGGAAGCATACTGACACTAAAAAATTATTTGTTGGTCTGCAATTCAAATTTAACTGGACATCTAATATTTTATCTGGCAAACCAAGCTGCAACCCAAATGACATTAATATCTTTGAACCTCATATTAGTGGCTCTAGGGTATTTTGGAGAAAAAATTAGCATGGGCTTTCTGACTATAAACAACAAGAAGAGTTTAAGGCCACAATGAAACTGGTGGTAGATTGCCATCTAGTGGAAATTTTGTGATAGTGACAGCTTAAATTGGAAGGATAGGGTTTTTCCTGGAGTCTTCAAGGAAGGATTGTGCTCTGGCCCAGTGCAAAGCCCTAAGGTTGCAGTGCGGGGAGTGATGACGTCAGGAGGATAAGGGTGCCGTGGGGGGAGGGGAGGTAGGAGGAATGCTGAGATGCGGCTGGCCCCTTGATCTAAGGAGAGGAGCACCTGACCTTGGCTCTCCAGAATGCACACTTTCTCCTGCATTCCAGCCAAAACCAAAACAAAAGCCAGGGCTAACTGTAAGAGGCATCATATCCTTCCAGATGAGGATGGCTCACACGGATGTGGAACTATGAAAAATATATTTCTACAGATGTAATCACAATTATAATGAATGAAAGAAGTCCTGCAGAAGGTAACAGAGTGGCCACAAGTTCAGATTTTAAAAGGACTGAAAAGACGTAAATATTAAAAGGCAGCACTTCTGGAATTCCAAGGATAATCTCTCTAAATGTGAAGCCCAGAAGCAGTTCCGTGCTGCAAAACATGCTAAAGTCCACTACTAACAATAACACTAGCCATGATGACAATAAAACCAAACTGGGAACAGGAAGAACAGGGAGAGGACAAATATACTCCTTGAGGCAGATGTTATAATGTCAACATGTAATACAGAGAAAGCAGAAGCACTTGACTCTTATTCTGGTCTTCTCCAGAAAGAATGATATTCTAGAAATTTAAAAACTTGGACAAAAACATAAGATGATCTTAAAACCCAAACAATCTTCTAGCCGATTTAAATCTAGATTTTTTTCTGGAGTAGAACAGGAGAGGGTCTTGAGGATTTAATAGAGGCAATTATCCTAATTTTTAAAGGCATGATTTGTAGAAGCCAAGAAGAATAAATTTAATGTGTAATTGTCATAAATTTCTAGAAGAGACTATTAAAAGATGTTAGATAAAAAATAATCGTGAAAGACAATCAGTGTCTCCTAAGATAAGCCATGCCAAACTAATCTCATTTACTATGTTGTTAGGTTTACAAGAATATTAAATCATTAGAGTGCTATGAAGAGAATATGTTTTGATTTTAGTGAGCCATACAGCACAGTTTTTTCCCAAAATGTGTTTTCAAAATCCTGGAGATAACAAAGGATGGCCCTGGATCATAGTATAGTTGAGGATTTTTAGCCAATTTAACTTTCAGCCCAAAAAAGTGCTCATTAAGGGAGTATTTTCAAGAAGAGATGTCAAAATGTTCTGTAATTACTTGTTTACTAATGATGATTATAAAATGTAGAAACATACTGATCAAATTTGCAGAGAGCAAAATTGCAAACAATGGTAATGCTATAGCAGGACTCCAAATCATCTTAACAGACTCAATAATGGGCTACAATTAACCAGATGAGACCAAACAATGTATATTTTTGTCTATTTGGATTCAAAAATATCAATTCTCCAAATACAAAGTAAGAGAATGATTTTAAAACAGTTTCTATTAAAATAACCTAGGGGTCATAGCTGACAATAAGTTTGGGACCAAGAATATGAAGTGGCTGGGGGAAAAAAAATCTAATTCCTCTCCAGACAACAATAGAAAAGAGTGTCCTTTCTGAGGGAGGGGACAGTCACACTGTACAATGCAGTGGGCCAGACTGCATTAAAGTCAGGTTCAGTTCTGGCACCCTCTTAAAAGGAACATCCATAAGGTCCTCTTCATTTGAAGAGAGGCACGCAGGGTGGTAAGGAGAGAGAGCAAGCCACGGGAGGGCAAGGCTTAGAGGGATGACACACGGTCCTCAGATTTTGCGATAGATTTATTCTTTGTAAGCACATGGAAAGCAAAACAGATCAATTAAACAATAGTGACTTCTTCCTAGCAGAAGAAAGAACTCAGTAATAATTAGAGCTTTCAGAAATTCTGTGGCCACTTGTGTAGGCGAGCTAGCCGGCCACCTCTGTCACCTGCAACTGGAAAATCGAGACTGTGATCATCTGTGGTGGCATGGAGGAGACGCCGGGGTTTGTCAGGAGGTTGGACTTGTCAGCTTGTCAGTTTCTTCTACCTCTAGGATTCTACACTTCTAATAACTTTTCACCATTTTCTCTGTTTGGTCTATCATTATTTCTTAGTTCTCATTTTATTTTTAGTCTGCCATTAGAATATGTAACGCTTTTTAGCCAAGTGTTGCAGGTAGGCATAGACCTTTTTTTTTTTTTTTTAAAGATCTTATTTATTTATTTGAGAGAGAGAGAGAGAGTGCACCAGCAGAGGGGAGGGGCAGAGGGAGAGGAAGAAGCAGGCTCCCAATAGGGAGCCTGACACAGGGCTCAATCCCAGGGTCCTGGGATCATGACCTGAGCTGAAGGCAGATGCTTGACCGACTGAGACACCCAGGCGCCCCAGGCATAGACCTTGAAGTCTATTTCCCTCCAGTTCTTGGCTTTAGATGTCAACACTGTTGCATTTGTTCCATACTCCCTTGCTTCTAATCTGAGCGGCAGGAGCCTGAACCAATTAAGAGCTGGTGGGGAAAATACCCAGCCACCCCACAGGCCTTCGAAAGCAACGGAACATTGTGGGCTTTTGGAAAGAGCGGAACAGTAGCATGTGATTGACCGGTGAGAACTCTCCATCTTCCCCCCTTATGTCTGCTTTTAGGCTGCTCATGCCATGGGCCTTATGGGAATGTGAAAACAAAAGAGATTTGTGAAATGTATACTTTAAGAGAGCCAGATATGTATCATAACACAAGTCCTTTCATATTTCTATGTACACAGTCTAATCCCTAAATTAAGGCTGTTGATGCCTGACTGTTATGATCCTCAAGCGGCAGGAAGGGATGACCACTAGGACAGCAGGGCAGAGCTACCATTTGTCCATAAAACCCTACAGAGATGCACACATAGGTGTTCTTTTGTAACCAAGAAGTTTCTTCTCCATTTCCAAATATTTTGCCGAAATTTTTAGTTCTTATGAGTCATGACTCTAGAACTATTATGACAAACATAAGTTAACAACTACTTAATAATACAAGTTTTTTGGGGGAAAAAAGTATACTTTTCAATAATCATAGCATTTGGAGGTCCAGGATGGTACAGACATACACACTCACCAAATGCAGTGATGTAGTTTGAATCAATGGCCCTGAAATCCTAGCTATTTAGGCACTGTAGGGCCATCAGATGTGGGGTGCTAAATATTATATATATATACATGAACATTCTCTTCTTGGTGCTCCCACTCCTCATTCCTACACCTCTCACCTCCCCCCCCCCCAAAAAAAAACAGCTTTGGAAGAATAAGTTGTGGTTCGCAATGCTGAAGACTTGACCTAAAATATCCTTGAGTGTCTCTTGTCATCCTATCCCTACAGGGGATTCCAGAGAGAGGTCTAGGCTCAGATTTGCTCAGGTTCAGTCCTGAGTTTGGGAATAGAACATGATTTAATGCCAGGACTGAAGACAAGGCCCAACATGCCTGATTTCTCCCCCAGCCGGAGAGATGGGCCCATGGAGGATGCCAGGCTCCACGAGATCATGCCCAAAGGAGAACTCGCCTGGGATAGCTAGGACTGCATCCAACAACTGGTCAGCTGAGTGGAAGGCAGTGAAAGAAATGTAGCTTTTAATTTGTGAGTGCAGACACACATACTAAGAGAAACCCAAGAGTAAACTAGTTTACTGCTTACAACAGACACTGGCTCATTTGTCTGGCAAGGAAAGGAAACATAAACTTACAAAGAATTCAGAAGTCAGAGGGACCATTCTTTCTCTCAGGGCTGCCCTACAGGGGTGTGGAGGAAAGGGTGGGGCTGGCCCTCATCCTTCTCAAATCAGGTCAGGCAAGGTGAGCCCACAGAGGGGGGACCGTCTGACTTCCACCCCAGTCAACAGAGTCCACAGTCCTTCCTAACACTGCTGTCTCCTCTCCCACCCACCCCTCCACTCCTTGGCGCCACGACTAGGGGCCACAGCTGTTCTTGTCTTCCTCTCGGACCTCCTGGGGCACTGAGGGCTCCTCCGCAGAGGTGGCAGGCTGCTCCTCTTGGACCTTGCCAAGGAAGGGCCCCGTTCCTGGTCTGGCCGCTTCGGGCAGCTGGGCGGCACCTGGTGAAGGCTGCCTGCTCACAGCCGGAGCGTAGGGGGCTGGGAGCAGATCTGGGAAGAAGCTATCACCTCCGGGGGGCTGCCCCAGGGCTTGTGGACAGAAGGGACCAGAGAAAGGCAGTTCTGGCAAGCAGAGGTCATTCCAGGGGGCCATACCTGTGGAGTCAAAGAGTGCAGGAAAGATGAGACAGGATTAAGGGTACCCACCAGAGCTGAACATACTGTGACAGACTCCCCGCCGCCTCCCACGGAAACACAGCTTAGGAATCCAGTGTGGGTGAAGCACTAGCACCAGGAGCTCCCCCACAGGGCCGGGCGCGCTCCTGACTCAAGGTTCTGTGGTTTGGTGGCGTCGACACAGATGGGCCTGTGAGTCAGGCCAGCGGCCCCTCGCGTGGGCAGCAGGGAGACTGGGAACGGACGGCACACATCCTTCCTCGCTTTCTGATGGAATTTAGTCTTACTATGATGGTTGCGCCCAGATTTCAGAGATCCGGCTGGCCTGTCAGAATGCTCAGGCCAGCTGCCATTTACTCTGTGTATTTCCCTCATACTGTTTTTCCCTCCTATTTTTTCTAACCCTCAGCAAGTCCCTCCCTGCTAGAGGACTACTATTCCCATTTTAGAGTCCAGGGAAACTGAGACTCAGCAAAACTGGGAATGGCTGAGCTGGACTTAAAACTTCAGTTGCGTAACTCCAAAGCTCTCACTCTGCTCTGCAGCTCCCCAGAGAGACCCAAAGAGCTTCGTAAAGCCAGCCAGGGCCACGGAGAGGTGATGCGCTCACTGCCTGCCCTTCAGCCAGGGAGGCTCCCTGCCCCTTCTCACCTTCCTCAGTCACAATGGGCACCTTCTCTTCCAGCCCCAACTCACCCACGTTCCCAGCAGGTGGCTGCAGCACCATCTGCCCTGTTGGGGGGCCGGGGAAGTAGCCCTGAGAGGGACCCGTGCTGGGGCCGTAAGGCGATGTGAAGAGGGAGTCATCCAGCAGCGGAGGCATCAGGGAGTGGGGTGTGGGGAAGGGGAAGGGATGCAGGTAGGAAAACTGAGGCTGAGGTGGTTGGTAAAGCTGGCTCTGTGGAGCCTGGGAGAACGGGAATGGCCCTGGCTGGGGGCTCTGCTGGTAATCCTGGGGTTCCAGTTCTTCCAAGTATGAACAGGTGGATGGTGGGGTGACACTGTGGGGGACAAAGGAGTATTTTGTGAGGCTCAGGGGTAGCTTCCTCACTGTGACCACCCAGTAGGTGAGTCCTTCCCCGTATCTCCATGACCCCAGACTTGCCTCTTCCTCTTCTTTCTCTTTCTGTTCCTGGCTTCTCACCTTCTTTCCTACTTTTTTCCTGTGATAATCTAGACCTTTCCCACCTCAAATCTATGTAAGCTTTTAATCCTCATCACAATTAGGACCGCCCCCCCCCACCCCGCTAGATCTGTCTTTTTCCCTTCTGTGCCCTCCCAAGATAACTCAGGTGACCACCCCATCAGGTTCCATACCTTGTCCCCCAGGACCCACAGGGGCCATCTTTGTGACTGTTGTCACTGCCAGGAGTATCCAGCAGCAGAGGCATCGTTTGGGGGGTAGGGACAGGGCCCAGGGGAAAAGGAAGGTTGACTCTTCGAACAGGTGGGGGGCTGAAGAGTGGTGGGGTCACTGCCACCCTTTGAGTATTCTCACTTTGTTGGGTTGGGGCCAGAGTCTGGTCAGAGGTCAGCAGCATGGGGGGCTCTAGGAACCAAAGTCAAAGAGGGGTTACAAAGGTAAGAAAATGGGGAGGCAGATTTGGGATTATGGATGGTTAGAAGTGTGCCATGCCCAGTTCCCCTTGAATAGGCCCCACTGGACCAAAACGCTCGAGATCAGTGGCCTACCTTTCTGTCTATCTAGAAAGGACTCTGTCTTTCCAGCTGCCATTTCCGCCCCCCACCCCCACCCACATAACCCTCAGAAGGTGGTCAGCTTACCTGTAAGAGTATCTAGAGGGGGCTCCTGAGGGAAGGTTCCAGGCTCTGGTGCCAGGGACATAGAAGGTGGCAGCTCAGTTGCTGAGCTGGAGGCAGGCAGAGTGAAGACTGTAGCCCTAGTGTCCCTAGATTTAGACCAAGGCTTCAGTGCAGGGAAAGGGACACCAGAGTCCCAAACACTGCCTTCCTGCAAGACCCTGGCAACTTCCCAACCCCCTCCATCCAAAGTCTCTCTAAATATCAGCCAAGAACTCCAGCCCCCATGGCCAACTTTCCAACACTCTCTCCTTCTAGACCCCAGGAGCCCAGCTTAGAGCCCACTTCCTACTTATGGGGATGAGATCCAGGAAGAGGAGAAGTTCTACCTGCACTGACTGCTGGCAGGGGTAGGGGCAGGGCCTGCAGGACTGCCCTTGTTCTCCTTCCCATTAAGCTTCTCCACTTTTCGCCACTTTGCCCGGCGATTCTGGAACCACACCTGTAGGGGAGAGACCCTTGAAGAGTTCCAGAAGCTCGGCAGAGACTATGACTCAGGCTCTGATTGTTGCACAATGAGCCGGATGACTTTAGGAGGTCACTTTACCACTTGGCTTCTGACGCCTTTCTCTGCAAGAGTAGTTTTATGAAAAGATTCATCTAGATAGCTCTGAGGTATTTTCCTTGTCTAATCTGAGGCGGTAGCAATATGGAAATAGGCAGGAACACAGCCAGATCTAAGACCTAACCTCGGCCCCTAAAGGGAGATGCTGAGCACTTGCTGTGCTCAGGAGTTCCAGTTGGTGGTTTCTCCTCCACCCTGAGACCCGTTGGCCAACCCCCTTTACCATGATTCGTTGGGGGGTGACTCCCACCGTCTGGGCAATCTCCCGGCGCTTATCGCTGTCTGGGTAGTGGTCTTCTTGAAAGATCCTTTCTAGCTCCTCCAGCTGGTCTGGAAGAAGAAGAAACTTGCATGAGGACAAACAGTGATGTGGCAGCAGAGGAGAAAGACAGATGCCTTCCAGACGAGACCATTGTCCCCAACCCAAGGGTCTGCCCAGAGCCTTGCAACTAAGTTTCCCATTGGGCTGGAGCCTTCTCTCACTCTCCTGGGCTTTGTGGCAGGGAACTGTGTGGTGTTTACTTTCCTGCTCTTTCTAACCTGGTCCCAATATCACTTTCTGATGAGGCAACCCATTGAGGGTCACAGGGTGTGGCCCTGCCACAGGTCAAGAGAGGATTCAGGACAAGGGGATGTACAAATTACCCACACTGCAATCTCCTGGAGCTACTGTGTTCTCTGTTGAGCTCACATTTCCCAGAGATGACACCAGCTCTCTTAGATTGTCTCTCACCTTCAGGGACTTACCTGAGCGGTATAGGGTCCGAGTCTTTTTCCGAACTTGGCAGGTCACTTCCGGGGTCCTCTTCTGATCTGTGTTTTGGCTGTTCTGAGCCAGTGTGCTGAGGAGGTTGGCCAGATGGCAGGGCCCCCGGCCTGACCCGCAAGGCACTAGGTTGTGTGTGGCATGGGCCAAGTTAATGACACCAGGAGATGATGCGGAGGCCAGACCCCCGACACTGGGCGTTTTCTGCTTACTGGAGGCTGGAGAGTAGGACCTCTTCCCTGGCTTTGCCTCCCTCACTGGGAAGGAACAGCCTTCCCCGGGAGGCTGGGGTCTAGGTGGGGCCATAACTGTGTCTTTGTGGAGAGTCCCAGAGCCAGATGGCTGGCTCACCCTCCCAGTATCTGCCCCAGCTGGTTCTCCAGGGGCCTCTGACGGCAGCTTCTCCCCAGCGACCGGGCGGGAGGGGGACAGTTCCTCACTTGGGGCATCCCGAGTGTGGGGGGCTGGACTCTGCAGCAGTTCCTCCTCTGGCCCAGCAGCCAGGGGCTTGCCTCCACCTTCCTGGCCTGTGGGGAACAGCACCCACTGACCTTAGCACCAGGGAGAAGGAAGAGCCTGGCCTTAGAGGACGTGCTGCTTCCTACTCTGCCACCAGTTTCCCGTTTGGCCTCAAGCTTTCATTTGTCTACTCGACAAAGAGGGTAGTAATTCTAGGTTTATCTTTCTTGCTTGGCTATTGTAACCATCAAATTAGATAATCCACTGCTTTGAAAAATGTGAGCAAATATATGCACCCATGAGGGGGCCTGAGCTCACATACACAGATGGTAGGAGAGCAGTCCTAATTTGGGGGGGTGCTTACTTTCTGAGAGTTGTCTGGGTTTTTGCACCCCAGACTTCCCCCCCAGGGATGTGAGTCAAGGGACAGAAATCTGTTTAGGCATTTCTAAGGGACAAACGGTGAAGCTGGGAGTGCACTGGGAGGAGAGAGAGATGGAGTCTGCTGCTTCTAAGACTGGATCTTGTCCCTGCTTAGAGCAGGGACAACGACAGGCTGGCTGGTGGTATGAGGAAGGAGAGCGCAGGGACACTTTGGGTTTCCAGCGTTTTAGGCCAGCTTGTAGCCTAGCGAACCTGGCACCTAGTAGGTGCTCAATGAATGCGACATATCAGAGTAGTAGGCCTTGGTAGGAAAAGGGACGGGTGTCGGAACCTAGAGGAGAAGGGTCCGGGGGTTCCCCGCCCCGCGTGCAGAGAGACGGGAACCTCAGGGATGGAGGGCGCACGGTGCCGGGCCTCCCTCACACCCCCCGGCACCGCCAGCCCCTCCGCTCACCCGACCCCGAAGTCAGCCGACTCGGGCCGCGTGGCCAGGGGCCAACCCCGCCGGCGTCAGCCTCCCCAGCCCGCCCCACGCTCACCCCGCGGTTCCGGGCAGGGCTCCTGGGTGGGTTCCATGGCCCGGACTCACGCCGCCTCGGAGAGCGGCGGGGCTGCCCTCGCGCGGCCTAATGAAGCCTCGCCGGCGGGCAGGTGTGCAGGGGCCTCCCGGGCCCTGG